TACCTAGTTTTTTTTTCGTTTTGACATTATAAACGTGATATAACGTGTTAAAATTAAACACAACTACACCTAAGTGCATGTATACGTACGAGTTACAATAGAGGAAATCCAATTCTGATCCAACGTCATATAATGTATCGTTCTCTTCTCGAGAAGTGTCATTGTGATTATTCGAAGTGTCATCATTATTTTGTTTGAACTGAGCTAGAATGTGATAAATGATAATAATATATATGTCATAAAATATTTTTAAAAATAAGGTATTTTCTGTTGATGAAAAAAAAAATCACAAACGATTTCTTCGATCTATAAATCTATAATCATATATTGCATTAAACAAGTCTCATATTTATATATAATAGTTATCTATATATTGTCATCATATTATAATAACGATCAGATCGTGATCGACAGTCGTAAATTTGTAATACATTCTTACGGTTATCACAATACTGTCTACCGGCACAATATTATGTGCCAAACGTGCAATCGAATACGAGTGTGATCTAATAKGGTCATATTAGGTATTAATTATCATACAGACCGTATTGGATCAACAGAAACACAAACAACAGGACTGTTGCAGCGGATACGTTCATATTATTATCATCAAAACGAAAATGTCCGACACCGAATACTGTGAATATAATACTAAATCTATACTTAAATAATTTGTGCAATATAACGGAGTCACGGCACCGGTTGTATAGCTGACAAGCGCGATTGTTATATTTACATAGGTATGTGCGGGCCGGGAGCGAGCAGCAATGTTACGCGTGCCCGTCACCGTATAATATATTTCGTACGCTAATATAGGTACTCACACACCGACCGACTTGTGTAAATTTGTGAATGTGTGTTATAGCTCAACTAGAGTTGGTTGGGTTCGCCGCGSAAATACTAGTGAGCTATGTGGTGTGGTGGTGTGTTAGATGTGTGAGTGTGTGAGTGTGTTTACAGATAGTTAATAACAAAATGGTAACRCGTTTCAGGTGGATAATTAGTTGCTGTATTATAATACACTATATCAACAATAATAAATTTACAAAAAAAATGTATAAAAATCACAGCAACACAATAGTATAGTTGRAAATATAACATAATGAATAGCAGCCCTAGTGACTGAAACGAATATAATATAAATTAATGCGTCGCCCTTATGGCTAATCAGAATATAACAATTTAACTACGGCCCTTTTGACCAAACCGAATAAAATATATACATCATTAGGTAGATGTTAGAGCTGTAAGCTTGCATAGAAAAATTTTAGTATTTAAAACAAAATACAATTAACAAATACTTGYGGCCCTTTTGGCTCGACAAATTAAATCGTATAAGTGAATAATAAATACTAAAAATAATAAAAACTCACAATTTTTGGAGCGCAGACTGGCGGCCAAGCCGGTCCTGAGCTAAAATAATATAACATAATACACAGCAATGATAACGATAATATTATAGTAATATTTGGCCTTTGTGGCTTACAATAGTAAAATAATATAARTATAAAATGCCTTTAGTATAATTAKCAYCAAGAAAAAACAATAGTTATAGTGTAAGGCCCTTCTGGCGTGAAAATTATATAAAAAAAAAAAACAATGATGGTAAACAACCTTTGAATAAAAACTTAAAATAATATTATTAAGTACGCGATGATATGGTGTCGGAACAACGTACGGACGTACGGTACGAGACAACATGACGGCGGCCGTGATAAATCTTCGTGCATAGAGTGGCGAGCCGTCGCCCGTCAGGGATCGGTTTTACTTATTATATAACTCAACTACTCAACACAATTAAATACAATTATAATGAAAATTAACACAATATTATAATTTAAATATAAACAAATAATATGTTGTGTGCGACGTGCGTGGATGTGTGTGTCGTGTGTGTGTGAGTGTCGGTCATAATATACGGCGCATTCGAATTGCGTCCCTAAATGATATTTTGTCCGAGTTGCGTCCGCGATTTTGTCACGACACACATCCGAGTTGCGTCCGTGGGTTTCTCGTCACATATACGAGTTGCGTCCACAGGTTGTTCAGCGACTGAGAATAATGTTAGGTGATAACAGATAAACTCATAGATGGTATAGATATCTCAACTATCGATACCTTATCTGTCCGCTTGGTATGGTATTCTACCCAGGCGGTAATGCGGTATTTACATAATATATATATATATATATATAACCTATAGTTCAGTGGCATCGCCAGGAATTTCATATTGGGGTTTTTGAAAATTTGGTAGGGCCAAAAAAAGTCGCAATCCGTGGTCTTTCTTCCAATTTTAGGGTCAATAAGGGTAGAGGGCTTACACACTATATATTGTAAGATTGTGTTGCATAATACTAAGTTTTCACATAATTATTGGTTTTCATTTTAATCGATTATATAAATATCATACCTATTGCTATGGACTAGCGTCCCGCATTGTCTAGTTCRCGGTCAACTAGGTACCAGCCGAACCAAGATAGGGTAGGGTGCGACCAACTTTGTAATTATAAGAGAGAAAGCATTTCGTGGAAATCATTAACGTTAGGGCAACACGAAATCATGTGGTTAGACAACTATGAAATATCGTTGATAGGTGTGCACAGGATGTGGGGTTATGCATC